CTGCCTTTCTGTACACGCAGCCTCTTGGCTGTGTGAGTCTCTGCAGTCACTCGTGCATGAGGAGGGCATAGACTAGGGTGGCCTAGGTGTGCTTTGTGGGTGTGTTCCTGAGAGCGCCCACCTGTGGAGTGGCCCCAGTGGGACGTTCTGGAGGTGCATGCCTCCTGAGTATCTAAGCTCTGGTGGACTGTATCTAAGCTCAGGAGCTTGCATGTCTGCTTCCTGGTGTGCCCTGCATGTTGGGGGGTGAGGGAGTGGTCATGAGCTAGGTGTCTTCTCAAATCTGGGAAGCTTCCTCTCTCAGTCAGGTGGGGGAGGCCAAGGCTGTCTACTACGCTTCCTTCATGGCCTCAGCCCCTGGCTGTACCTCTGTACTTCCGGGGCAGAAAGCTCTGGAACAGGGACTCTAAGTTGGGCCTTGGGCAAGGTCCTTCCACTCTTTAGACCTCAGTTTCTTTTCGAGGTGTCCCTCCCCTTCTCCACCTGAGACCAGGTTGCTGAGCCCCTCCCCAAGCAAGCCACAGGTGTGTAGACCTGGGGTAGCTTAGTGAGGCTGCAGGCTCTGGGTAGGTAGGGGGAGGGGTGTTGCTGGGGCAACCAGATGTTATCAAATATGAGAGACTTGGGTCGTTAGAGAATTTGCAGCTGTGACCCTGATTGCCAGCTGTGGGCCTGGGACCTTGATGAGCTGATGTTCCCTCACCCCTAACTTGGCAGGAGCTCAACCCTTAGTTCCCCTGGTTAGGGGGAAGCTGAAAATGACTGTCCTGTGTGGTTAAAGGCTCCAGTTTTGGAGCTTGCCAGAGCTAGGGAAGTCACCTAGCTCTCTGGGCCTCACAGGTCTGTGATTAGTTACTAGGAGAGTACCTTTGAGTACATGCCTTGAAGAGCTGTTCTAAGATCCATGAGGACAGAAACGAAGTTTTGCCTCCACCAGGACCTGGCATGATGCCTGGCATGAAATAATCACCCTGCAAGTGTCGGTCTACTGCTCTTTTCTGTTTGTGTGGGACTGATAAGAAGAGGGGTGGATGGGTCTGGCCTAAGAGGCAGAGGAGAAGGCCACTGGGTGGCCCAGCTACCTCCAATTTGTAGGGATGATGAGGTCCCTGACCCTTGTTCAGAAGGGAGATCAGGTTTGCGGCTGGCACAGCGGACAGAGCGTGGCTTTTGGATTCAAGCTGTTCTGAGTTGGAATGCTGCTCTGTCATCTATTCAGTGGAGGCCAGAGGGGGCAGCTGTATAATGTTTGCCCTCTATTTCCTCATCTGTAAAATGGGAATAAGAGCATCTACTTTTTAGTATTGTTGTCCAGATTTCAATGGTTTGTTGGTGTGTGCTATCCAGCTCCACAAATGTCTGTTCCAGAGAGCAAGGGCTCTGCCTTGTGCTTGAGTGGCTCTGAGAGGCCAGTGCTGGGCGGGAGGCAAATGCAAATGCGGAAGGAGCTGCAGAGGAGTCTTGTAGCTCCGGAGCCACTGGGAGTTCTTAGATCTCTAGGACTCATAGAGAAAGGTGCTAAGGGGCGGGGTGTCTTTCGGGTACAGCAGGGTATATAGTTCACAGACTCTTACACAGTTTCTGCTATACTTTTTAGAGTTGCCAGGGGGGATTTTTTTTTTTAACAGTGCCACTCCCCAGCTGAAACCCTCAAAGGCTATGTGGCCGGGACCTGATCTGTTTCCTGCCCATTTCTGATCCCATCTCCTGCCATTCCCTTGCTGGAAACTCTAGCCACACCAGCCTCCTCTCTGTCCCTGGAAACCCACCACCCCTGCTTCGGGCCTTTACACATGCTGCTGTCTGTCTACAAGGCTCTGCTCCGTACCTGCCCGGCTGGCTTCTTATCATTCAAGCCTCAGTTCCAATGTCCTTTTCTTAGAGGGGCTTTCCTTCACCACCTGTCTAAAGGCCTCCCCTTCCTGCTGCAGCTTCTTAGTCTTCACTACCTAAAATTGCATTGTTAGTTTACCTCATCTGTGTATTCATCAAATATTTATTGAACTTGTAGCATGTGCCAGGCACTGATTTAGGTGCTGGGTATACACCAGTGAACAAGATAAAGTTCTTTTCCATGAACTGTAGCCCCTAGGACTAGCTTACTAGATGTTTGCTGATCAAACGAATGGATACAACAATCTTATAAAGAGGAATTATTGACCTTGTTCTCATAGGAAGTCATGACTTTTGCATGATGGAGTTGGAATTGGACCTGGACCTGACTTCCCTCCCAGTACTTCTCCCTTCCCCTCCCCTCCCCTCCCCCTCCTGACTTTTACTGCCCTGGCCTGTGGGCTGTTTCTTGGCTAATTCTGTTCTGCCTGCTCTGGTGATTGATCCAGCACAGGATCGAGCACAGAATCACCGAGTCACAGAGTAGGGCCAATGGGCAGAATCCCATGCTGGGAGAGCAAGAAGTCTGCTTTGAAGTCCTGCCTCTGCTGTGTGACCTTGGAGAGTTCACTGTGCTTCTCTGGGCTTCTGATGTCACATTGTCAAAGTGGGAAGAAAGTCCTTTGGAACATATGGGGCTGAACATACACATGTGGGGTTGTTGCCACCAGCCACTGTGATTCTGCTCTGGGCATCTCCCTGGCTTCCTGGTACTGTGTTCCAGCCGGTGCTGGCTCTCCAGGAGCCTCTGCCCACAGCCCGACTGCTCCGTGCTCTGAGCTCTTTCCCAAGGGAATTGAGCTCTTTCCCCAGGGAATTACCCTCACTGGCCAGGAGAGCTTGGGGTGGGCACCATGCCAAGTCAGTCTAGCCTAGGATCCCTTCCACCTACCATCTGGCGCTGGGACCCCTGCCTTAGCTCTGGCTCCTGAGTATTTTGATGAGGACGTTGGGGCAGGTTAGTGATCTGCCCCTGAAATTGAGTGTCTTCGTCCCCCCCTAGTCATACTCTCCGCCGGAGCGGAGCACACACAGACTCCGGGCCTCAGTTTCCACCTGAGGGGCGGGGTCCGCAGATGGGCGGGATCAGTGGCGAGGTTGGGAGGAGGACCCGGAGAGCTGCCCCTCCTCCTCTGCCTGAAGCCAGCGCTCTGCGGCGGGGCTGGAGGGCCCTCGTCCCCTTAGTGCCGGGTTACGGTGGGAGCGCTCAGCGCTCGGGGAAGGTTGGGGTGAGGGACGATCCCGAGTGGCGCCTGCAGTCATGGTGGTGTTCCTGGGCCGCCACCTCCCGGTGCTCCTCGGGCTCTTTAAGAAGAAGGGTGAGTGGGTGTGGCTGGGGGGGAGGGGAGGGGTCCTTGACACCTCTCTTTGCCAGACCTTTTTGTAGAATGGGAGATCAGGGCTGGGAAAGAGTGATGGGGTGGGGCGCAGGGGCTAATAACGAGGCCAGAGTCGCCACTGCTGTGCTTTTTGTCCAGCTGCTTTGTTGCAGCTGCCTTTGTCCGGGCCCTGCTTGTGCTTGGGAGGGTGGATGCAGGTGTTTCTGACCTTGAAGCCTGCAGCCCTCCGGAAAGACTGCCTCCCTGCAGGGTTACCCACACTTTACTGGGTACAGCCCAATACCCCCGTTCAGAGAGAGAGCAGCAGCATCCTGGGGCATCCCAGTGTGCAGGGGGGATGGGACATGGGGCACAGAGAAGAGAGGAAAGTAGTACTGCTGGCAGTGGGGAGCTTGGCCAGGGACTTCAGGTTTAGAGACCTGGGAGTGGAGAAGTTTTGGAGGGAGGGGCTTGTGCCCACTCCCTTCTCCTAGTCTGGTGTGATCCAGGACTCCCCTCTGAAAACCCAGAGTTTAGTCCTGGCTCTTTCTGACTCCTGTTTGCTGGGTGATGTTAGGCAAGGCCTTTCCCCTTTGAACCTGTTTCCTCACTTGTAAAATCTGGGGATTGGGAGAGGTGATCCGATCAGATCTGCTGGGGAACCTTCCCACTCTGACCAGTGGGATTCCTGTGGGTTCCCTAGGGCAGGAGCTCTGGCTGTTGAAGAATGGGCTGAGGAGGGAGGAAAGGCCAGTTTCTGAACTAAAGACCCTGTCCCTGCCGCATGGCCCTTTAAAGGGCTTGTTTTGTTCCTGTCCCTTTATAAGGTGCTACCAAGGTCATGTGACCCTTCCAGCGCTTTTGCTTATGTTGTGGGTTTCATTTAAAGGGGGGCTGGGGCTGCAAAATGCTGACACAGGCCCCCATCCCCAGGATTAGGTGACCAGCCCCTCCATGGGCGGGGCTTGTAACAGGATCCTTTGTAATGGATCCCTGACTCCTGCACCAGGGGCCAGGGCCAGGGCCTCCCTGAGAGGGGGATACCTGGGACTGTTCCCTTGGGAGAGACTGGCGCTCCCTTGGCTAGGTTGGAGGGGTCTGGGTCCCTCTGCCCATCCTTTTACTAAGGGGCAGCCACATGGGTGAGTAGGGGACCCAAGAGGCCATATCCCTCCCTAGTCTGGCCCTCTTCTGCCACAGGATCTTCTGGGAATCTGGTTCTGACCCCTCTGCTCCCTCTCCCTTCCTAATTTCTCATGGTGTCTTCCTCCTGGACCTGGGCCAAGGGTTTGTATGAAAAGGGTGGTTTGCTTTCCTGTGAAGTGGGTTTGAGGTATGGAGACAAGAGATACGTATTTGCTATGGACTGGGGCCCTGAGTGACATGTGGCTACATAGTTGTGTACGTACTTGGGCATTGTTTGCATACGTACTGATTGGGGACTGTGGGTGTTGTGTGTATGTGTGGGGGCTGGGTGTGCGCAGTGTGTGTACCTATGGGTATTTATACTTGGATGCCCCGTGTTTGCGTCCGTCACTGAAGCCTGGGGGGGTTGTGTGCATGTACAGTAGACCTGTGTGCCATGTGTGTGTGTGGGTACCCAGATATATGTACAGTGTGTATTGAGTGTGTATCCCAGAGCTGTGGTTGTGTCCAGATTGGGGCAAGTGGGCATTGCATGTGTGCCATGTGCAGTCTGGGGACTAGGGGTGCCCTGTTGGGTGCCTGTGCATCGCCAGGGCCCAGATGCCTTTGGGCCTCACTTCCCTTCCTCCTCCATCCCACTAGGCTCTGCCAAGGCTGAGAGCGACAAACGTCTAAGCGTAGGGCCCGGCCAGGGGCCAGGGTCTGTAGTGGATGAGCACCAGGACAATGTCTTCTTCCCCAGTGGGCGACCGCCTCACCTGGAAGAGCTGCACACACAGGCACAGGAGGGGCTCCGCTCCCTGCAGCACCAGGGTAACCTCGCCGTCCCCTTCCCACCCTCCCCGCACCTCCCCACACCTCCCATGCTACTCTCTCAGCTCTCAAGTTCAGGGGCCTAACCCAATACACCTGTCTGGTGTCTTCCAGAAAAACAGAAACTGAACAAGGGTGGCTGGGACCATGGAGACACCCAGAGCATCCAGGTGAGCCCTGCCCCCGAGCTCAGTCCTGACTCTACTCTTCCCTCCCTGCTTGACCTCTGGCAAGTGTCTTTGAAGCTTTCTGGGTCTCAGGTGCCTAAGACCCAGGGCTAGACTAAATGAACCCTGGGGGCAAGTCCAGGGTTGCTGCAGCTGATGCCTGCTCAGTGCTAGGTGATGCTGGGGGCACTCTGTGAGTCAGAAGTTCCAGTGGGGAGCCCTGAGGAGGCTGCCTCACTTGGGCCAGGGTCTGATCTCCTTCTTCCCCCATAGTTGTCCCGGACGGGGCCGGATGAAGACAGCATCTCCTTCTGCAGCCAGTCCACGTCCTACACGGCGGAGAGCTCCACCGCAGAGGACGCTCTCTCCATCCGCTCAGAGATGATCCAGCGCAAAGGTGTCTGCTCACCAGACGGTTTCACGGGCAGGGGAGAGGGGATAGTAGGTGCCACTGGGTCTCCGTACCTGTAGCCCCTTTTCCTCCTAATCCAGTGTTTCCTTAGTCTTTGTGATTCAGTGAATTCAGGAAACACCTGGAGATTCTTGATGCACATTAACTATAAAGCAGGACAGTTAAGAGTTGGAAAATCTGGGGTTGAGGCCTGGTGTTGCTGTTTACCAGCTGTGTGACCTTGGGCAAACCCTTAACCTCTCTGAGCTTCTGTTCGATATTCCATAAAAATGAAGATAATGAGTAATTACCTTATTGGAATGAATGCCAAATGTTTAGCATGCTGACTAACACATAATAATATGTTCACTAAATAATAATAAGCTGTCACTAAATGGAAATTATCACTGTTGACTTAGTGGCCTTCCAGAAGTGTTACAGAATAGAAGGTTCTAGTTTGTTTAACCTAGCTTTGCCCATACTAGTTGCTTGTGGAAATTGATTCTTGCAGAGCTATATTAATATTCTATAAAAGTAGTGCTCTGCAGAATGTGACCCAAGTCCTTCTGCTGTAACAGTTTTTCTCCCCTGGTCTGGTCCCCAGGCTCCACCTTCCGACCCCATGACTCATTTCCCAAATCATCTGGAAAGTCAGGGCGGCGGCGGCGGGAGCGGCGGAGCACGGTGCTGGGGCTGCCACAGCACGTGCAGAAGGAGCTCGGTGAGCCCTGGGTTAGCGCAGGGGTGGTGGGTGGGGTTAGGGCAGGGGTGGAGGGTGGGGAGCCCTGGCCAAGCCATCTCTGCTGACCCCACCTCCTCCCTGTCCATTCCAGGCCTACGGAGCGAGCGTGAGGCGCCAGGCACTCCTCGGCCTCCTGGCCCTCGGGATGCTGTGCGCATCCCCACGGTGGACGGCCACCCGGCAGGCCTGGCCTCAGGGATCGGGGCCCGGGTGTCCCTGCAGGCGCTGGAGGCAGAGGTGGAGGCTGGCACTGAGACCGAAGCCATGCTGCAGCGTCACATTGACCGTGTCTACCATGATGACACCCTCATTGGCCGGTCCACAGGGGCCCGGCCCCCACTACTGAACCGGCCCATGTCCCTCGCAGTGCCTGGACTGACAGGAGGGGCAGGGCCACCAGAGCCCCTGAGCCCAGCCATGTCTATCTCGCCCCAGGCCACCTACTTGTCCAAGCTGATCCCGCATGCTGTGCTGCCACCCACAGTGGACGTGGTGGCCCTGGGCCGCTGCAGCCTGCGCACGCTGAGCCGCTGCAGCCTGCTCTCAGCTAGCCCGGCCTCCGTCCGCTCCCTGGGGCGCTTCTCCTCAGCCTCGAGCCCACGGCCCCGCAGCCGCCACCCTTCCTCCTCCAGTGACACCTGGAGCCACTCTCAGTCCTCTGAGACCATCGTGTCTGACGGTTCCACCCTCTCCTCTAAGGGGGGCTCTGAGGGCCAGCCAGAAGGCTCTGTGGCTAGCAATAGTGTGGCAGCCCCTCCGCAGGGGGGGAGCGGGAGGGGTTCCCCCAGTGGGGGCAGCACTGCGGAGGCCTCAGACACAGCCAGCATTCGGAGCAGCGGGCAGCTGTCTGGCCGGAGCGTGTCCTTTCGGAAGCTGAAGCGGCCCCCACCCCCTCCCCGCCGGACCTACTCCCTCCATCAGCGGGGCTCGGCAGCACCTGATGGGCCCCTGGGGTTGCCTCCCAAGCCTGAGCGCAAGCAGCAGCCACAGCCGCCTCGGCCTCCCACCACCGGGGGGTCCGAAGGGGTGGGGGCAGCACCCTGTCCACCCAGCTCTGCAGGCAGCTGGGTGCCTGGCTTGTCTCCAAGTGGCTCCCGGCGCCCCCCACGCTCCCCAGAACGGACACTTTCACCCTCCAGTGGATACTCGAGCCAAAGTGGCACCCCTACCCTCCCTCCCAAGGGTCTGGCAGGTGCCCCTGCTTCCCCAGGCAAGGCCCAGCCCCCTAAGCCAGAGCGTGTCACTTCCCTCCGATCTCCTGGGGCCTCCGTCTCCTCCTCCCTTACGTCTCTGTGTTCCTCCTCCTCTGACCCAGCCCCCACGGACCGCTCTGGGCCACAGATGTCAACCCCCCTGGGTGACAGGTTTGTCATACCTCCTCATCCCAAGGTGCCTGCCCCCTTCTCCCCTCCTCCCTCCAAGCCCAAAAACCCTAACCAAGCTGTCCCTGCTCCAGCTGCCCCTGCTGTGGTCCCTGGGCCTGTCTCCACCTCTGATGCCACTTCTGAGTGCCCTCCCACTCCCCAGACATCCCTGACCCCACCACAGAAGTCTCCCGTTGTCTCCAAAGAACAGTCACCCCCACCATCCCCACCTCCATCTTATCATCCACCCCCACCACCTACTAAGAAGCCAGAGGTGGTTGTGGAGGCACCATCTGCCCCAGAGGCTGCTGAGGAGCCCCTCCAAGATCCCAACTGGCCCCCACCCCCGCCTCCCGCGCCTGAGGAGCAGGACCTATCCATGGCTGACTTCCCCCCACCCGAGGAGGCCTTCTTTGTGGCTGGCCCAGAGCCTCCAGGCCCCCCAGAGCCTGCCAGCTCCCTGGCTGCTTCACCTTCCTTGGCTGCTGCCCCTTCCCAGAGCCAGCCCCATGACACCCCAGACCCTCCTCCAGCTCCCCCCGCCCCACCTCCTGCTAGCTCTGTTTCAGGGCTTCTGGCCAAGCTCCCTCAAAAGGAACCCGCAGGCTGCAGCAAGAGCAGCGGGGTTCCCAGGGAGGATGCTGCTGCACCCCTGGTCACGCCCTCACTCCTGCAGATGGTGCGGCTGCGCTCGGTGGGCGCTCCCACAGGGACTCCCACTCCAGCACTGGGGCCGTCTGCCCCCCAGAAGCCACTACGAAGGGCCCTGTCAGGGCGGGCCAGCCCAGCATCCTCCCCCTCAGGGCTCCATGCTGCTGTCCGACTCAAGGCCTCCAGCCGGGCTGCCAACGAGGGCCTGGCAAATGCCCAGCCCAATGGACCACCAGAGGCAGAGCCACGGTGTCCCCAGTCCCCTGCCTCTACAGCCAGCTTCATCTTCTCCAAGGGCACTAAGAAGCTGCAGCTCGAGCGGCCCGTGTCCCCTGAAGCCCAGGCTGACCTCCAGCGGAACCTAGTGGCAGAACTTCGGAGCATCTCAGAGCAACGGCCACCCCAGGCCCCAAAGAAGTCACCTAAGACTCCTCCACCTGTGGCCCGCAAACCCTCTGTGGGAGTCCCTTCACCCATGTCCCCCAGTTTTCCTCGGGCTGAGCCCCTTACTGCTCCTCCCACCAATGGGCTCCCTCATGCTGAAGACAGGACTAAGGGGGAGCTGGCAGAGAATGGAAGTGTCGTGCAGCTGGCGGGCCCGGAGGGGAAGATGGGGCCCTCAGGCTCAGGTACTGTGGCAGTGGTGGGTGTGGGGCCCCTCACTGATGGTGGGAAGTAACTGCTGTCCCACCATTAGGGATTTGCTCTTGGATCTCTAGGATTTCTCTGGTCTTGGGATGCCGGGGAAGGAGCATGGCTTGTGGGCTTGGGCGGCTTTCTCTAGCCTTCCTAGGTGTGTGCGGCAGTGACACCTATATTATGGTGTCAGAATGTTTGGGAGGGGTCCAGCCCAGTGCTGTGGTCAGTAGATTGAAGGGGCAGGAAAGGTTGGGCAAGGGTGTGCATTGGGCTCTTAGTGCCAGAATCAAGCGGGAGGCCCTTGGCTAAGTGTGCCTCCCTTTTGCCCACAGACCCACAGAAAGAGCTGGTCTGACCACCAGGCACCTGACCGGCACTGCTGACCCATCCCAGGAATCCAATCTCTCAGGGACCTGAGCAGCTCCAAGGACGAGAGGATACGGCAGACACAACCTAATAGAGAGGGCGCCTGCAGCCTTAATCTCCACGGCCTTCGATATTTATGCAAGCCTGGTGTTGCTCCTGTCCTGTCATCTGCTCTCACGTCTTTCCCAATGGATTCACCTCTGGCAGCTGCTGCTTCCGTCTCGGCCTTAGCCTCACCTGGAAGGAGGTAGCTGTGGGAGTGGGTGGCTGCGCCCCCTGCTGGCCCTGCGGCCACAGTGTTGGAAGCAGAACACCTCACTTTTGTTTTCATTTTTTTCATGTCCAAATCATGCACATACTGTAGTTCAGAATCAAAGCACTTTTGAAAAGTGGCTGCATGTCCATCCTCCAGGGCTCATGAAGCCACATTCCAAGGGCCTGTTTACATGGCAGCAGTATCATTCCCCTGTAACCAGTCCATAGCTTGGAACCTATCTGTCCCCTCCCCTAATCCAGTTTGCTCCTTTTCTTAGTTCTTGGAGGTGGGGAAGTCATTGCATTCCCACAGGCTCCCCCAAGCTGGGGGCAGGAGTGGGGCTGTGGAATTCCAAAGCACAAAAGGTGCAGTGGGGGCAGCCCTCCTGTGCCTCAACTCACCAGCCACCCTCCTGCCTTCCGGCTCTGCCAGGTGCTCCATGCAGGGGACAAGTAGGAGACTGCCAGGGCCTAAAGGGCTTGGGGAGGAAGACCCAGAGGAGAGGTCTGCAGGCTCTCTGTCCACAGGAAGCAGAACAGAGTAGGGAGTCATCCTGGCGGGCACTGGCAGTGCCAAGCGCCTGCCTCTTGTTTCACTTGATCAGGCTGGCGTGGGTGGGCATGACCCTTGACACTGCAGGGGCGGGAGTCCGTGAGGAAGCACCGAGACGAAACGGCGGGGGATGGGGAGCCTCTGGCAGGAGAGAGCTTACTTGGGCAGTGGGCCCAGACCCGGCCATGTGGACATCATTCTTTGACCTTTCTCTTTACTCTTTGCGGTGCATGTCCTTTCTGCAGCTGCCTTTTGGCACAGGTGGTTCCACTGGGGGGAGCTGACGCTGAGTGACAAGGATGGGAAGCCAAAGGTGCATTTTACTCAACTCTTCCTGGCACACCCTGTGGTCCTAGAGTAGGCTGGGTGGTTGTCCCCTAGGTGTCAGCCTCTGCCACTGCTGTCTCCTCCAGGCATTTTAACCTTTCTGTTTGCAGCCTGTGTCGCCTATCTAGGTAAAGCTGGCTTCCCACAGGCCTCTATGGCTCCAGAGGCGGCCTAGTGCCTCCCTCCACAGCAGTGTATCTGCCACCCCTTCTTGATCCTCTTTCCTCAGCAGTGACTTGGGCTGGAGCCTGGCAAGGAACCTCGCCTTTAGTTTCTCCACCACCAAGGAGAGAGGTTGACATACTGCCCCCGCCCACCCGAGCTGGAAACATAGGGTATGTGGTGTGAGGGCCCAGGCTCCTTTGGCCTCCGCCAGGGGTTCTTAAGCTTGTCACTGTCTTCTCCCTGTAGCTATAAACCAATGTCCTTCCCTTGCCCTGTGGGTCATGGAGAGCTGCTGCTGGGTGTTCGCTGCGCCTGCCTGGTGAGCTGGGGAGAGGATGATCAGTAAGCACTGCTCTGCTCAGAGCTCCCGGTCTCCTGCTGCCAGCAGCCAGGACCCAGGACCCAGTCAAAGCTCCATGAAACCAGGCCCTGGCAGCAGCCTGGGAGCTGCTGGGTGTGGGAGCCTGACTTCTGTCTCTTTCTCTCCCCTCTCCTCCAACGTTACTGGAGCTCTTGTTTCCCCACTGGGTGGGACGAGTACAAAGGAGAAGGGAGGATCTGGGAGAGGCAACCCTTTGTCCTCTGGGGTAAATGAGCTTGACCTAGAGCAAATGGAGAGACCAAAAGCCTCTGATTTTTAATTTCCATAAAAATGTTAGAGACATATATATATATATTTCTTTAAATTTTTGAGTCTTTGATATGTCTATACAAACAACCCATTCCCTCTGCCCTAAAGCCTGAGTGAGACACATGAAAAAGCTTTGTGTTTCATTGAAAGGTGTTAAATAATTAAATGATTGAAACTTGGCTGTGGCTGCTGCTTCTTAATGGGGGAGGGACAGGGCAATGGTATGGGCCCACATTTAGAAGGGGAGAAGTTCTGTCTGTTGCAAGCATTGCACTCAAGAATGGGCCTCTTCTGCTTAGTACTGCCAAAGGCAAAGTCAAGGTGTCTGTCATCCATTCCCCCCACCCCCGTTACAGGGTCAAAATTCCAAGATACATGCATCCCCAGGTTGGGTGAGGGGCCCAGCAGCTGCTTCACGCTTGTGTTCCCTCCTGCTATGGTCCAGCTCACAGACAGGCCCCGTCCAGACACCCTTGTTCAGACACTTTATTTAAGTTTATGACAGTGATGGTTAGTGATTTGACTGAGATGCCTTATGGAGAAGTACCCCACCCTCTGTGAAAAAAGAACCACTCTGTGCCATCCATTCCACCCCTGATGTTGTTAAACACACAGCTGGTTTAGAGAGTGTCCCAACCCAGCCAGATCAAGAGAAATTCCAGGAGCCGTGGGGCAGGCCCTGCAGCCCAATGCCAAGCCTCAGGGCAGGCAGGCACCGGGAAAGCTGCCAACCACTTGGTAGGCCACTGGGTTCTGTTTTCCCTTCCTTTTCCTTTTCAAATCCCACAATTTCCTGTTGGGGAGAAGCTGTAATTAGCCCAGTCCAGCTAGATCCCAGCTAGAGGCAATAGCTGCTGGGTAACTCCAAGAAAACCTGGGAACCAATATTTTTCCAATTACAAGGACTGTGGCATAAATGTTTTCTGTAAATTGTATTGAAACCAGATTTCTCAAGTCAGCAGCCAAGGGAACAAGGCAGAGCTGGACTGCTTGCTGCTGCCCACCCCTCGTCGTTACTACCCGAGGGGGTCAGTCTCACTGCAGCCAGCCAGGATGATCCCAGATTCTGGGAAGGGGGAGCTGCCCCTTACTGAGTTCTGCACCTAAGCAAGAGCTCGAACCTGCTGCTTCAGTGTCCTGAGAGGTGGATAAACGGGTGATGGATGGAGCAAATTGAAGAGACAGCAGATGACGCGGGATGGTGGGAGAAGGGAGAAAGATGCCGGGCGGGCTAGCTTATGTTCCCCCCTTTCAGCGATTTACAGGAAATGTGCCCCAGCTTGGTCATGAAGTTAACTTGCTTCCACTGTGCGATGCACTCCTCAGAAATTTTAAAGTCAGCCTGGACAAGATAGACAGACAAAAGAGATTACAGTGATGGAGGGACTGTAAGAAAACTCTTATACCACCAGTAGTGTAATCTGCCTCAGCTTTTCTAAGAGAGCAGTTAGTTAAGAGCTACCATGTTGATATCTTTTCACCTAGTTAAGTTCATTTTAGGGATTTAGTTTAAGATAACACTAAATAAGTGCAAAGAGCTATATACCAAGGCATCCATGACAGCATTCTAATAGTGAAAATCTGAGAACAATGTTTGATAAGGTTTTAGTTACATTATGATAATTATGATAGAATGTTATACAATATGACCTACCTTAATGTTTAAGAAGGGGAAATTTTTCAGGAATAAATTTAAGAAGCAGAATAAACATTGAGTATGAATCAAATTATAAATATATTATCTATGCATAGCAAAAGACCAGAAGGAAATAACCACTAATGACATTTTTTAGTATCTTTAACTGGAAGGTCCCATACTCCTGCCACTTAGAGATACTTCCTTCATTCCCCCTCACCTTGATATTTTAGACATTTTCTACAAAGAGAACTTATTTTATAGCCAGAAAAAAATTAAGTGATTCATAAAGTCAGCCTAGAAAACCAGGACAGGAGGGAGTGAGCAAAGCCATCTGCCTTGTGCAGGAAGATGGAAAGGCAGACACCACTGTCAGTGTCCTCCAAAGGCACTTTGTCTAAGTGAGGACACAAAGTATTAACTATGTCAATGTCTAGAAGACAGGAGACAATAAGTGCTCTAAGTTCAATCTGGGTAGGAGGGACCCTGGATTGATGCTGGTTCCATCACTTTTGGTGGCCCTGTATGGCCTTGTCAGGTATCCTACCAGGTAAAATGGGGATAATCTCCTATCACAGACTGAAGATCAAAGGAGGAAGTGTCTCAAGTCCCTCACACAGGGCCTCAACTAGTCTGTCAGTGCTCAATACAGGCCAGGCCCTTCTAAGACCGCCACGTATCTCGGGCACCTTGCTTTTAGAAAGGTCTGGAATGAAGGAAGAGAGGGGTTCAGAAGCAGGGAGTCTCAACTGGGAAAGGGTCAGCTGTGGATTCTGTAACAGATCACTCGGGACACAGTCCAGGCAGCCCCGGTAAGAGGGGGAGCAACTGCAGCCTTTTACCTGCAACTTCTCAAAGACTTTCTTCTTGGGCTTGAGCTCCTCATCTGGTTGGCCCTTCTCATAGCCCTTCACAAACACTCGCTCCCCAGGAGCAGAGCCTGCAGGAGGGTCCAGAGGTTCAACCTGGCGGTTCAGCCCTTCTCTGGGAAGACACACAGGACAAGGAGAGGGTGAGGCTGTGGAGGCCAAAGCAATGTGGGCCTTAACACAGGGGCCCTGATGGGATTTAGGGCATTCTCAACACTAGAGCCCCCAGAGGTCCTCATTGCTTTCCTACATCTCTGGATATTACCAGGGTTACATTCACCAGGGCTCTACCAAAATCCCCTGTCAGGAGAGATACCAAAATCTGAGTTTCTAGGGGAGGAGGTATGAAATAACACAGCAAGGACTTTAAAGCCATCAGGGTCTGAATCCTCTCTCTACCTCTTACTAGTAGTGAGACTTGGGCATGTACACATTGCTTTGACTCCTCCATTTCTATTTTAACAAAATTAACTGCAGGTAAGGTGCTTTCACAGTACTTGTGCGATAACCTTTACACATCATCTTTTGGTATCAGTGAGGAAGAGGCACGTATTCTCAGGGCTCCCACCTGGCATGTGGAAGGGCATCGAATGGGCCAATTCCCCATCTTCTTGGCCTCCCCAGGTCCTGTGTCCCACCCCAAGCCCTCACTCACATAGAAGCACACAGAAGCATGCCTTGGGACTCAACTCCTCGCATCTTCTGGGGCTTCAGATTGCACAGCACCACCACTAGCCTGTCCTGCAGTTCCTCTTTCGGCACAAACTGCACGAGGCCGCTCACCACAGTCCGGGGTTCAGCTTCCCCTACGTCAATCTTCTCCACGTACAGGCTGTCTGCATCTGGGTGCTGCCAGCAGGAGATGTCAGGTGGGAGAATATCATAACAGAGTAGATCAGGGGCCTGCTGAACTCTCTAAACTCCAGAAAGGGGCACCCACTCCTCACAGAGCCCCCTGGAAGGACCCCCTAGAGCTAACCCTCTTTCTGGGTCTCAGACAGCAGACAGGAGAATGGGCATTGAAGGTATATTCTACTCTCAACCAAAAGGCCAAATGTGAGTAAAATGAACCTAAATGCTGGTGTAAGAGATGGAAGAATCTCTAACAGAGATTAAACGACCCGGACTGTCTAGGTGGCTACCATCATGGCACATGGGCTAGGTGGGCTAGGAGATGGGATGAAGACAACTGTTGACTTCACCTTCTGATGTGAGAGCATCAACAGCTATCTGGAGGTAGTTTTGGTGGCTGGGTATATATAGTGAAAAACAAATCGATGCTGAGGGGGAAAAGAGCCCAGAACAATGGTCCCAGGCCACTGGATGCATAACCTTCTGTCCAGGGGAAAAGGAAGTCCACCACCTTTTACCACTTTCTGAGGGGGGCAAACAAAGTGGCTGATCCAAGATAAGGCCTGTAGCTAGTCCAGGCAAGCTGGTGGAGACCAGGTGAGTGAATCAGACCAGATTTAACAGATAAATAAGTTCCCTCTGACTAACATCCTCCCCCTACTCTGAGTTCCTGACTGTGTTTGGTCGCATAAGGTCCAAAGGCAGCAATTGCTACGGAAAGCCTGATGCCTGGAATTGGATGCCTGGGTTCTGACCTGCAACATGACCTCAGGCATGCTGCTTCCCATCTCCAGGCCAGGTTTCCTCCACATGGAAAGAGACAAACCTGACCCCCGTCTGCCTCTCTGGGATGTGGTGAAAAATGAGCACCTTCTCCACACTGATGATTTTTCCCACACGGATATCCAGCCGGGATGGGATGACCTCCTCTGGTTCTGAATTCTTGGCAGGGCCTTTGGCAGTTGGCTCTGGGAATGAGAAGAACCCCATGGAGTAGAACCCTCCTCCTCCGTGGCAGGTCAGCTGCTGACCCCACCAAATGAGGACACTGAGATTAGGCAGGACTTAGTGTAGCATTCCCAGAGACTACCCACTGAATTATACCTCCTTTCAATACAGGGCTGGCAACTCTTCTGAAGTGACATACTGGAATTTCAAATATTTTCCAGTGTTCCAAATATATTTCAGTGTTTAGGCTGGAGGAGAGGGAACAGTAGTAGTTTTGCCACCTTTAGGTGTTTCCATTCATGCACTGCATATAGAATTTACTAAGTCTTTTGGGGAGGGTCACACAAAGTTATCAATGCCAATATCTCAGCATCATGGATAAGCAGTTGTACCTTTTATGACATGGTTTTGAGTCTATTCCTGTCATGACATCCTTCCTTTCCCAACATGCTCTAGGTTATCAAATAAACCTCTTAAAGTTCAAGTCTAGGGCTGAAGGTACAACCACACTGCACTCAGAACAGCAGAGAACAGAGTGAACTATCACCTCCCTGATTCTGCACTCTATATGTCTACTTCCATAAGCACATGGAAGGGAATTGGGAGAATCTAAAGATAAGCTTCTCTAAGAAGCTCTGCAGGCTCTGTGCAAGCAGTTGTGTAAGAGACTATCTCCCTATATACTGACTGGGTATAACAGGTCTAACTCCATCGCTCTCCTTAACGGAGAGGCAGATTTAGTGCACAGACTAGAAGGATCAAAGTACATGTCTCACACCAGCATCTCTCAACAGTGTGGACACAACAGGATGTAATCACTTCCTGTTATCAACCAACACCCATATCAAAATGACTCAGGTTCTATTCCAGGAGTCAGTGGGACATGTCATGACTGCACTTCAGACCCCCTGGGTTCTTGGGCCCTCAATTTAAGACAGACGTTTTTCTGAGGCCCACTGACAGGCTCTCCCTCCTGACAATGTCACCCTCTCCCTGGCCGGCCTTACTCTGCTTCGAGGGATCTGGGTAGGCAGCGCTGGTCAGTTTCTTCAGTGCAGGGGTATTAAACTTTTCCCGGATGGGATCCAGCAGCTTATTTAAGGCGACTTCAACAGAATTCTTTAGGTCTCCAGGGTGTACAACCTGCAGAGGACAACAAGACCTGGTGAGATGAGGTCTGGAACAGTGCACAGGACACCTGAATCTAAGAATGTGCATACGGATTGCAGGGAGTTTTTCCCAGCAGAGTTTTACAATCTTGCGAGGAAGGTAGAGCATAGAAGGGAAAATTGATTCAGAAGGCTAACTTGTCAGAATCCAGGTCTTTTGACTCTGAATATCACACTTCAGAGGGTGTGTAGAGGCTGAATGTATTTTTTAGTCTAATTCTTATAGTCCCCTCATTTATGTTTAGAGTAGTGGCATAAACTCAGTGCTATTTGCAGGCAGAGCAACATCCCATAGGTAAGCCAAGACCACCTGAGGGAGAGAGCGGCATGAGAGAGAGGAAAGAAGGGCTCTGGACTTCGACAAACCTGGATGAGATTCCCAGCTATCCCCAAACTAGGCCCTTAACTCCTTTAAGCTTTGTCTTCTTTGCTTATAAAATGATTATAACAACAGCTCTATCTCACAGAGTCAGAGTGAGGATTCAGACACCTAATGTGGGTGAAAATGGTAACAGCAGTGTTGGTACATAAAAATAATTCAGTAATTCAATTTTTCTTATTGAGTCCTGTGACTACCTTTTCTTATATCCCAAACTTGGCCTGAAAGAATCTTCTAGATATTCTGAGGGGATTTGTTTGGGATATTATTTCATCATTTCCTTAGAAATGTTTAATTTTCAATACAAGCTCTAGGCTTGCTGTTATCCAATATGGTAGCCACTAGCCTCGTGTAGGTATTTAAATGTGGATTAAAATTCAGTGCTTCAGTGGCACTAGCCATACTGCAACTGTTCAACAGCCACCTGTAGCCAGTGGCTTCTGTATCAGGCAGTACAGACAGAACATATAAATTGCCACAGAAAGTACTATTGGATAACGTGGGTGTAGACCTTTTTTCTGAGGCATTTAATCTATTCCATTTCATTATTCCTACTGTGATTGTGGTTGAGAAGTGCAGTGTGGGTTCTGTACCCCGCCTCAGATGGCAGAGAGGTTTCTGAGCACTGGCTGTAAAACGTCCAAAAATGGGCCTTAAGCGCCTTCAGAACTCAGAGGTCAGAGTCTTTTCCTCCATTTGACGCTCAAACCCACATATGCCATTGCCTCTAAGTGCTCCGCTAGCCTCCGCCTGAACAACTTCAATGACGGGTGATGCAAGGTTATGTGAGGCAGCCCTGTCCACAGCCAAACAATTGAGGTCATTAGACCTCATTAGAAAGGTCTTTCTAGGATACAGTGTACGCTATTCTGGTGACAGGCACACCAAAAGCCGACTTCAACATTATACAATTAACCTACGTAACAAAAACACTTGTACCCCTTTAATATTTTGAAATAAAAATTATAAAATAAATAAATAATCTGGTGAGAAACAAAAAAAGGTCTTTCTAATGCTGAACTCAAACATGCCTCCCTGGGGTCCCTACCCTCTAGTCCTACTTCAGCCCTCTGGTGCCAAGAGGAGAAACCTGATCCCCATAAAAGTCCTCCTCATATTTAAGGACAACTGAACACATACTTGCTCTCCTGCTAAAAAGCCCCAGTTCTTTCAATTGCGCCTTTTGTGACATGGTTTTGAGTCTATTCCTGTCATGACATCCTTCCTTTCCCAACATGCTCTAGGTTATCAAATAAACCTCTTAAAGTTCAAGTGTAGGGCTGAAGGTACAACCACATTGCACTCAGAACAGCAGAGAACAGAGTGGACTATCACCTCCTTGATTCTGCACTCTACATGTCTACTAAACCCAAGATTTCAATAATATTTCTTTTTCTTTTTTTTTGAGACAGGGTCTCACTCTGTCATCCTGGCTAGAGTGCAGTGCTGCAATCATAACTCATTGCAGCTTCAAACTCCTGGGCTCAAGTGATCCTCCCACCTCAGCCTCCTGAGAGCTAGGATCGTAGCTAGGACTGCATGCACATGCCACAACCCAGCTCATTTTTCTTAATTTTTTGTGTGTGGAGATGGGGTCTTGCTATGTTGCCCAGGCTAATCTAGAATTCATGGCCTCAAGCAATCCTTCCACCTTGGCCTCCCAAAGTGCTGGGATTTCAGGCATGAGACACTATACCTGGCCTATATTTCTAAGAGCCCCATCAAATTGCTGATTCAACCTGAATTCAGAGTCAATCAGAATCTCCCACTTTATTCCATATATATACTATCACCGTCTTCCCTTAGCGACCTGGCCCTACCTTGTCTTTCCCACAATGCCCCATCTCACTTTTTAGACTCTAGTCAGGCCAAACTACTGTGAGTCCTCATATACCATCCTATTTCTTCTTCCTATGTCTTTGCATAGTTTATTCCCTCACAGATTTCTCATGAACTCCTATTCCTCAAGCAAAACAGTGCTCGGATACTGTCCTCTCCACAGACTTTTCTAGAGAGCTAGTTAATCACTTTCTCCTGTTTTATTTCTGTTCTCTCTCTCTCCACGTATATATTCATTGTGCAGTATAACAGTCAGTGATAGGCTTGTATGTCTGCTCTCCTGCTGGACTGAGCTTCATGAGGATTTAACCCTCTCTGTAGTAGCAGTCTTTAGCATGGTGCCCAATACACAGGCATCCGGTATGTCTTTTGTTAAAGTGTTTGTTGAAATGAAGAGTAGCTTCTATTCTGTCCTTTTATAGTTGTCTCTCTTTTTTGAGCCTCGATTTTGCACTTATCTCTGAAATAGTTCATCTTGCTGGGTTTGGCCCTCTATTCTTACATGTTAAGTCCTTTGGAGAGTGATTAGGTCGTCACTCTTTGTACCATTTGCCCATCTAATCTATAAACCACCAGAATCCTCATCTATGCTATTAACAAAATGTACAGCACTAGAGAGCGTAAAGACAGAGCCTTGTGCCACATAACTACAAACCTGGCTAGGCCAAGATGGAGGGATTTGTCAGAATTCAGCGAGGATTAGTTTTCCTCTAGTATTACCTCATCAGCAAAGTCCTTTTCCAGGTCCATGTAAGCTGTGTAGGTTTTGTTTCCTCCCCATTTCTCATCTCGAAGGATCACAAACTCTGTAAGAAAAAGGATCCATGCCAACAAGCTTATCAACAATGGCAGAGTCAGCATTCCTAGCCCAAATGCATGAGTTGTTTCTGCCATATATTTTGAACTTATAATGACGTTTTATTGTCCTTAAAAATTGGATAAGTGGCAATACTGCATACCCAGCTAGCATCTCAGCCCCTTAAGTGAAAAGATCACGGCTTATGTATTTTTTTATATTTCTCTAGTTCAACAAGTCTAGTCCCTGCCCTCATTTCTAACACCCTTGCCTATCCTGACACCCCCACAGAACTGAGCCTGGTTAACGAACATATGGACAATTAAATGATATCCTAACCTCATCCATACATTAATACATGAGAAATCAGAGCACAGAATCAGGGCAGCCAGTCCCTGGAGGAAAGTCTGTGACAAATCACAAGTATGATCACAGCATGAGGTTTGCTATTCTAGCCTGGCCTCTGAGAATAAAACAGGGAGTGTCTTACCAGACTTGAGGGGAAAGAGGACATGCTTGATGAAGGACAGAACCCCATTGTTCTCTACATTTCCTGGCTCACAGAATGCCTTCTTCAATTTTTTCTTCACGTCTTCCTTCCGATCAAGGAGATCAATCTTGGATTCCTAGAAGTCATGAAAGGGAAGAGGACCTCTAGTGGTTGGAAATGTAAATATGTATTAAAAACAAAATATGTATTAAAAACATTTTTTTCCTTTCTTTTTTCTTACTAACAACTATACAAAAGAACATTAAAAAAATTTTTTTAACACAAATTTTAACATGGCTGTGCTCGGCGGCTCATGCCTGTAATCCTAGCACTCTGGGAGGCTGACCGGGGAGGATCACTTGAGGTCAGGAGTTTGAGACCAGCCTGAGCAAGGGCGAGAACCCGTCTCTACTAAAAATAGAAAAATTAACTGGGCATGGTGGTGCAGTCCTGTAATCCCAGCTACTCAGGAGGCTTAGGCAGGAGGATTGCTTGAGCCCAAGAGTTTGAGGTTGCTGTGAGCTAGACTGATGCCATGGCACTCTAGCGCAGGTGACAGAGTAAGACTCTGTTTCAACAAAAAAAAAAAAATTAACATTAACTATCTTGACAAGAGAATTAATCGAGATAAGAACCACTCCAGCGCGGCGCGGTGGCTCACGCCTGTAATCCTAGCTCTGGGAGGCTGAGGCGGGCGGATTGCTCGAGGTCAGGAGTTCAAAACCGCTGAGCAAGAGTGAGACCCCGTCTCTACTATAAATAGAAAGAATTAATTGGCAACTAATATATATACAAAAATTAGCCGGGCATGGTGGGCGAATGCCTGTAGTCCAGCTACTTGGGAGGCTGAGGCAGCAGGATTGCTTGGCCAGGATTGAGGTTGCTGTGAGCTAGGCTGACGCCACGGCACTCATCTAGCCTGGGCAACAAGCGAGACTCTGTCTCAAAAAAAAAAAAAAAAAAAAAAAAAAAAAAAAAGAACCTCACAATCCTGCCACCCAACAAATTAAACTATTTTAATGTTTCTGTGTTCTTCCCAGGCCTTACCTATAGCATATAGAATTGTTATAAATTTGCAGTTACAGAAAAAATGTCTATCTCATCTTAAGTATTGCTGAGTGGTGACCTAGTCTTCATTTATAATTTTTATGCTACATTATAGTCCCTATTATTAGTAGCACCATACATTAATATTTCCGCCGAAATAAAAAAATATTTCCAAACTATGATTATATCCATTTTAAAAATAAATTAATATAATGCTACATTGAACTCTTTGCAGAGGCTTTTTTTCCCTTTTTTTGCATCCTCTAGAATTATTTCCTTAAGCTACCCAAAATTGCTAGGAACAGAATGTTTCCTGAAGGTTATAATTGACATTGCACCAGCAATGTATGAGATAACTTGTTCACAGCAATCCCACTTTTCCTTTTGAGTAAACTCTTGTTTCTTATTTCGGAGTGACTGAGTTCATGGTCATGTGAGTTCAGTGGTTACAAATTCTAGCCACCATATGACTGTATATGAATCACGCTGGGTCCTTTTAAAAAATACAAATTACTCCGTGCTACTACCCAACCTAAATAGTCAAAATTCTGGGTTGAGCCAGGCTTTGATATTTTAAAAGCTCTACAAGTGATTCTGATGCACAGTCTTGTTTGCGAACTGCTGCAAGGCCTGATTCTAGAGTTATGTTGAATATCACCAAATAGGATGAGTGATATGATATTAGGAAGAGGAATAATAGACACATGGAGCATTTTAACATGAGTGAAAAGGAATGAGTATATTTCTTAAAAATAATGACAATAGTATACATGCATATATTCCTAATCCTAATCAGTTCGAGAAGTCAGACTTAAAGAATAGATGAGTTCCAAATGTGACTTAAGTCAGAATCCCTAGTCGGATTTCAGAGAAAATACAGATTCCTGACTACCTCCAGACTACTTTATCAGAATCTCTGTCGATAGGGTCTCAATGCTTATTAATTATGTTTTAAAAATAGGCCAGGCGCGGTGCTCACGCCTATAATCCTAGCACTCTGGGAGGCTGAGGCAGGTGGATGCTTAGTCAGGAGTTCCGAAACCAGCCTGAGCAGAGCAAGACCCCGTCTCACATATAAATAAATTAATGGCCAACTAATATATATATATATATATACACACACACACACACACATACATGGTGGCACATGCCTGTAGTCTCGCTACTTGGGAGGCTAAGGCAGGAGGATTGCTTGAGTCACAGATTGAAGTTGCTGTGAGCTAGGCTGACGCCACGGCACTCATTCTAGCTGGGCACAAAGTGGACTCTGTCTCAAAAATAAATAAATAAATAAAAAAAAAATAAATAAAATAGGTGGATCAAAGGTCAGCCATTTTTGGCAACCCAGAACTCACTTTTCACATCTTGGATTCCACTAATCCCTCTATTCTGTGCCTCTAATGATCACAACAAAAGTGTATTTTCCCTAAGCAGGACTCTTAGATGTTAAAATCATCATATTTATATATATTATAACAAACATCCTGGGCGGGCACAGAGGCTCATGCCTGTAATCCAGCTCTTGGGAGCTAAGGTTGAGGATCACTTGAGGTCAGGAGTTGACATCAGCCTAAGCAACACAGTGAGACGTCTCTACAAAAAAAATTAGAAAGATTAGCCGATGCAGTGCTCGTACCAGCTACTCAGGAGCTAAAACAAAAGACTACTTGAGCTCAGGAGTTGGAGGGTATAGTGAGCTATGGTTGGGCATTGCATTCCAGCCTGGCAACACAGTGAGACCTATTTCAAAACAAAAACATATTGGACTGAGGGGTCTTTTGGCAAAATGAATAAAAAAATATTAATAAGAATTAAAAGAAAAATCTAAAATTAAAAGAGTAAGAAGGCGGGCGCTGTGGCTCAAGCTGTAATCCTACTCTTGGGAGCCGAGCGGGCGGTTGCTCAGGTCAGGAGTCTCAAAACAGCCTGAGCAGAGCGAGACCGTCCTCTACTTAAATAGAAAGGAAATTAATGGCCAACTGATATAAATTAAAAATTAGCGGGCATGGTGGCCGCATGCCTGTATCCCAGCTACTCCGGGGGCTGAGGCGAAGGATCACTGAGCCAGGATTTTGAGCTTGCTGTGAGCTAGGCTGACGCCACGGCACTCCTCTTAGCTGGACAAAGCGAGACTCTGTCTCAAAAAAAAAAAAAAAAAAAAAAAAAAGTAAGAAAACTTTAAAAAATTTTCAAAAACACCAATAAAACCAAAACATACATCTCCCTAAGAATCACATGCTATTGGTTGAAACAACATGTCCTCGCTCTTATCAAGGCTGATTTTTATCAAAGTTGTATGAACAAATTACTTTAGCTTGTGTTTACTGTTAAAATTATAATTGGATCCCATCAGGACTACTTCTGGGTCCTCCAGTCAAGAACCACTGAATTAATTGAATGACATAAGGCCCCTTTATCACTCAAATATTTGAGAATTCTAGTTAGCCAGGTTATTCTTTTTTTGAGTCCTCGATCTCTCCATCTCTTGCTGAAGATTTCTAAACTTAAGTCACAGTTGGTAACTTACCTCTTCTGAAGAGCTCATTTTACTGCCAGTTAATCCTGGAACCATAGGATTCATCAGATGGACCCGTTTTGAGTAGCCAAGTCCAGGGAGGTACTGAGAGATTAGAAAAAAATACACAAAAGCAGGTATTAGTATAAATTCCTCCTAAGTGACCCAATCTCATCTAACTTGGCCAGCAATTTAACAGTTTGACATATTCCTTCCAATCTTTCTTCTGAATATATATAGTTTTCAGTAGTGATCATAATGTAAGCAAAGTGTTTTTTCTTATTGCTTTTCTATGAAGTCTTACATTGTGAGGCTACTGGACTTACCCTCCCATAAACAATTATAAAAGCTGGAAATACATAAAACAACCACTTGCAGGCATCAGATAGCAATCAGTGTAGGGCCACAAATCTTGAGAGAAGGGGAGTGAGGTGACCCCAAACTCACCCTGGCTTTCTCCCTGAGGGCATTTTTTTTCAAACCAGATGTTGAGAAAAAGGGACCAAGCAGACAGCAGCTGACTAAGCAGAGAAGACAGAGATTGGAGTTCAGGGCTGCAGGAGGCTGAGGTTTGGGATGGGTTCTAGAGAAGGAAGTCCCCCCACCAGTAAAAAAAGAAAAAGAAAACTATGTCAAAATTCCCCATCAATTTCTTGGCTGACTCATGGCTGTGTGTGTATGTGGTGAGGCTCCAGGAAGCCCGGCAGAGAAGAGGCTCTGGGAGGCTAGAGATCTTAGCAGAGATTTCAGAGGCCACACAGTACTGAGTAGAAAGTTGAAGTTTACAGCCAAAGTACAAAGGGCTTTGTGAACACCCTGAGATTTCAGTTTGAGACCCCAGAGAGGCCACACCCTAGGAATAAGGACCACATTGTAGGGGTAAGGAGATGTGTTCTAACAAAATGTAAAACCAACACCTGACAAGACAAAGGTGATAAATCAGTAATTTAGCAGCCTACAGAAAACAGCACTCTGCAAACATAATCCAGAGCCTCTACAATGTATCTATATTCTCTTTGATACAGCAAATAGGAAGCAGAAAAAAGTGACTGATAGACTTGTGGCCCCAGATACTCAGGAAGCTCAGGTAGGAGGATTGCTTGAGCCCAGGAGCTCGAGGCTGCAGTGAGCTATGATCATGCCAATGCACTCTAGCCTGGGTGACACCCTGTCATTTAAAAAGAAAAGAAAAAGACTGATAGGCAAGAGAAAACAGTCAATAGGGGCTAGGCATGGTGGCTCACATCCATAATCCTAGCACTCTGAAAGGCTAAGGCAGGAGGATCACTTGAGGTCAGGAGTTTGAGACCAGCCTGAGCAAGAGCAAGACCCTGCCTCTACTAAAAATAGAAAAATTAGCCAGGCATGGTGGTGTGCACCTGTAGTCCCAGCTACTCAGGAAGCTTAGACAGGAGGATTGCTTGAGCCCAGGAGATTGAGGTTGCGGTGAGCTATGATCACACTACTGCACACTAGCTAGGGTGACAGACTGAGACTCTGTCTCAAAAACAAAAACAAACAAAACCAATTATTATAAAGTCTTTGAGATTTAAAACATACGCAAAAAGTAAAATATATGGCAACAATAGCACAAGGGCAGGAGGGAGTTAAATGGAATAAAACTGTTGTAGATTCTTGCATTGTAGGGAAGTGGTAAAAATATCTAACTTAAACTCTAATAAATTACAAGCTATAATCTCTATAGCAGGGGATAGCAAAACTTTTCTGTAAAGGTCTAGATAATAAAAATTTTAGGCTCTGTGGGTCATATGTGATCTCTATTGCATATTCTTCTTCACTTTTTTTGGATACAAGGTCTTGCTCTGTTGCTCTAGCTATAGTGCAGTGGCATCATCATAGTTCACAGCAACCTCAAACTCCTGGGCTCAAGTGATCTCCCTGTCTCAGCCTCTCAAGCAGCTGGGACTATAGGCGCACACCATCATACCCAGCTAAGTTTTCTATGTATTGTAGGAATGGGTTTTGCTATGTTGCTTAGGTTGGTCTTGAACTCTGGGCCTCAAGTGATCGTCCCATCTTGGCCTCCCAAAGTGGCAGGATTATAGGCATGAGCCACTGTCCTTGGCCCACCTTTTTTTTACAGTACTTAAAAAATGTAAAAACCATTCTTAGCTTGTGAATCACACAAAAACAAGGTAGGTATGGGCCAAATCCCTGACGGAATAATAAAAGAAGGTTCAACTAGAAAGTTAATAGAGTAGACAATATGGAATAAGAAATAAACAATTTACATTGTAAGCAATCCCCATTCATAAAATATATCAAAAAACTATTATTTTAATATTGTATTAGGACATTAAATATGAAACATCCAATTTTGAATCAAAAGCGTAGTTTATTAAATCTCAAAGAAGCAGTACAATTAATCAAAGTATGTACCTAAACTATCAACACAGTTTTGCCATCTTAACGATAGCTTATTTATGCTAGCAATGAAGAAACCTGGAGAGCAAGTGGTGATGAAATTGTTAAAGGCATTTTCCACAGCTTGTTGAGAATGGAATATTTTTCCTTGCAAGAAGTAGTCCAGGCTGGGCGTGGTGGCTCACAGGCCAGGCGCCGGTGCTCACGCCTATAATCCTAGCACTCTGGGAGGCTTGAGGCAGTGTGATGCTTGAGGTCAGGAGTTCGAAACCAGCCTGAGCAAGAGCAAGACCCGTCTCTACATATAAATAAATTAATTGGCCAACTAATATATATATATATATATACACACACACACACACACATACATGGTGGCACATGCCTGTAGTCTCCGCTACTTGGGAGGCTAAGGCAGGAGGATTGCTTGAGTCCAGCAGATTGAAGTTGCTGTGAGCTAGGCTGACGCCACGGCACTCATTCTAGCCTGGGCAACAAAGTGAGACTCTGTCTCAAAAATAAATAAATAAATAAAAAATAAAATAAAATAAAAATAGGTGATTCCAAAGGTCAGCCATTTTTGGCAACCCAGAACTCAACTTTTCACATCTGATTCCACTAATCCTCTATTCTGTGCCTCTAATGATCACAACAAAAGTGTATTTTCCCTAAGCAACTCTTAGATGTTAAAATACATCATATTTATAATATTAGCTTATAACAAACATCCTGGGCTGGGCACAGAGGCTCATGCCTGTAATCCAGCACTTTGGGAGGCTAAGGTAGAGGATCATTGAGGTCAGGAGTTTGACATCAGCCTAAGCAACACAGTGAGACGTCTCTACAAAAAAATTAGAAAGATTAGCCACTGCAGTGCCTACGTACCAGCTACTCAGGAGGCTAAAACAAAAGACTACTTGAGCTTCAGGAGTTGAGGGTATAGTGAGCTATGGTTGGCGCATTGCATTCCAGCCTGCACACAGTGAGACCTATTTCAAAAACAAAAACATATTGGACTGAGGAGGTCTTTTGGCAAAATGAATAAAAATTTAAATAAGAATTAAAAGAAAAATCTAAAATTAAAAGAGTAAGAAGGCCGGGCGCTGTGGCTCACGCTGTATCCTAGCTCTTGGGAGGCGAGGCGGGCGGATTGCTCAGGTCAGGAGTTCAAAACAGCCTGAGCAAGAGCGAGACCCGTCTCTACTATAAATAGAAAGAAATTAATTGCCAACTGATTATAATATAAAAATTAGCCGGCATGGTGGCGCATGCCTGTAGTCCAGCTACTGGGAGGCTGAGGCGAAGGATCACTGGAGCCAGGATTTGAGTTGCTGTGAGCTAGGCTGACGCCACGCACTCTCTAGCCTGGACAACAAGCGAGACTCTGTCTCAAAAAAAAAAAAAAAAAAAAAAGAGTAAGAAAAATTTAAAAACTTTTCAAAACAAACCAAATAAAACCAAAACATACCATCTGCCCTAAGAATCAATGCTCTATTGGTGAAACAACCATGGTCTCTCACATCTTATCAGGCTATTTTTATCAAGTTGCATGAACAAATTACTTTAGGTCTGTGTTTACTGTTAAAATTATAAATTGGACTCCCATCAGGACTACTTCTGGGTCTCCAGTATCAAGACACTGAATTATTGAATGAGATATAGGCCCTTTTCACTCATATTTGAGAATTCTAGTTAGCCAGGTTATTCTTTTTGAGTCCTCGATCTCCTCCATCTCTTGCCTGAAGATTTCTACTTAAGTCACAGTTGTTAACTTACCTCTTCTGAAGAGCTCATTTTACTGCCAGTTAATCCTTGGAGCCATAAGGAATTCATCAGATGGACTTAATTTTTATGCTACATTATAGTCCCTATTATTAGTAGCACCATAATTTAATAATTTCCGCCGAAATAAAAAAATATTTCCAAACTATTAGATTATATCCCATTTTTAAAAATAAATTATATATAATGCTACATTGAACCTCTTTGCAGAGGCTTTTTTTCCCTTTTTTTGCCATCTCTAGAATTATTTCCTTAAGCTACCCAAAATTGCTAGGAACAGAATTGTTTCCTGAAAGGTATACTAATTGACATTGCCACCAGCAATGTATGAGGATACTTGTTTCACAGCAATCACCACTTTTCCTTTTTAGGTAATAACTCTTTGTTTCTTATTTCGGAGTGACTGAGTTCATGGTCATGTGAGTTCAGTGGTTACAAAATTCTAGCCCACATATGACTGTATATGAATCACCTGGGGTCCTTTTTAAAAGATACAAATTACTGTGCTCTACCCCAACCTAAATGAGTCAAAATATCTTGGGGTTGAGCCAGGCATTTGTATATTTAAAAAGCTCTACAAGTGATTCTGATGCACAGTCTTGTTTGGGAACTGCTGCAAGGCCTGATTCTAGAGTTATGTTGAATATCACCAAATAGGATGAGTGATATGATATTAGGAAGAGGAATAATAGACACATGGAGCATTTTAACATGAGTGAAAAAGGAATGAGTATATTTCTTAAAAATAATGACAATAGTATACATGCATATATTCACTAATCCCTAATCAGTTCGAGAAGTCAGACTTAAAGAATAGATGAGTTCCCAAATGTGACTTAAGTCAGAATCACCTAGTCGGATTTCAGAGAAAATACAGATTCCTGACTACCTCCCAGAACTACTTTATCAGAATCTCTGTCGATAGGGTCTAATCAATGCTT